TCTTCTCCGGAGGAGCAGAGCTAGATACGAAGGATTATATTGTTTATCAATGAGGAGTTTTTCAGGAATGAGAAATTGAGTGCTATCGAAATAATAGTATCTCTAGCAGAGCTCTCACCAAACACAGTTGTTGGAAACATCCAGGCAGTTATCAGAGGTCTTCTGAATGAATGTAAAAACTTACGCTCAACAGTTTCTCGTACTGCAATAGTTGCTTTTGGAGCTCTGTTCAAAAACCTCAAGACGGTTCTCGATTCGGATATTGAGAAGGTAGCTGGCTTGCCACTTATTAGGTTAACTGTTTATTCATTTTTCCTTTATTTCTTTTCATAGATTTCAGCGCGTTGTAACAGTTTTGGTAACAGCCTGATTAGAGCTAAAGAACCTTACATGTATCAACCGCAAGCAAGGAAAGTGCTGCAGTTTTGGGATTGAAATAGCACAGTACTATTTAGAAGGTTATGTAGTCATAACAGGTAATCAGGGTGGCCAAAATCTATAACAACTGCATTCGAAAGCACACCTGCTTCATCAAAGACTTTGCACCATGTATTTTTCGGCATGCAGGCTTAGCGTAGTAGGAAATCGCATTCTTGTCTTAGTGGACTGCGGACTGGGATTCCGTGGTAGGGCAACCAGTCCTTCTACGATTCGTTCATTTGTTTCGACGGCGAATTGGTACTGGCATATGCCTGGGGGTCAAATCTGTCATCAGCTTGCTCATAACCCTGGACAGTCTTGCCAAGCGAATGATTGCTTTTGGCATTTGCTAATAGTGCCGCCATTCCCAATTGCTTTCACCTTCATACAGGGCTGATTACGGCGTGGTTTTGATATTTTCTTAAATTGAGGTTTGTCTGGTGCTGATGCAAAAGGCTGGCGATGTCAGTAGTGCCTTCATTCGTGACGATGCAACACTTTCACTGGAAGAGATGATCAAGTACACGTCACCCGGACGAGCTCTGAATGCTTTAGTGGCTGCTGGAGCTAAGCAAGTTTTCTTTTACACGTATTCCTCGCAAGCAGTCAGAGAAAGATATGAATTTTTTTTCCCATAAAACATATAACGGACGTTCACTATTCCAAAAAATAAATTTGTACAGTTGTGAAAAAAGGAATTGTTCGAAATTATGAAAAAAGAACGAGTTTTTTTTGCTTTTTTAGAAGCAAAAATAATATGATCCGTGCTAGCTGCAGCAGTTTGCTGATCAAGTTGCTAGAACGTATAGGATCGGCTAATGCTGTCAATAGCGCTGAACTTCCGCAATTCATTAACACGCTATTGCTCTTCGCTAAGGATCCAAATGGCACCGTACGATACAATGGAAAATATGGAATAAAATTACTCAGTGAGGTTCGCACTCCCTTAAATTATTATTTTTAAAGGTTCTTTTTTACCAAAATTTGTGAATTTATTAGAATTTTCTAAAGCCACTCATCAGCCTGTCGTTTTGCTTCACTGCTGAGGGAAATTTGTGGGACTGAACAGAAAAGTCGATTTCTCCCTCCAAATCTAATTACTTCAGCTGTATGTCAGCACACTGCAGCACAAATTATTTTAATCGTTGTTTTTTTTTT